TTTTTTTATTGAAGTCCCCGTCTCAAAAGATTTTCCCTTATACAATTGAAAAGACATTTTTTTAGAAAAAAGCTGAAGATCCCTTTAAGTTTTTCGATATAACTTTGGTAAATGTTACTCGATCGGTACGTAATAATTACCAAATTGAAGGCGAGACGTAATGTTACTGATTTATGATAATAATATGATGAAAATCGTTCAGACTTTAAACAAATTATTTTAAAATAAAAAAATGTTGATCTAAATTTTTTGTAATTTTCCTATATTTGCAATTTTTATATTGCATGCATAAACATAAGTAAACTAATTAGTGTTTCTAGAATTTGTGTATGTTCAGTGTTTCCATACTCATTTGCATAAACAAAATTTTTCCACGATGATGGAAAATAATCGCTTTTCTATTAGAGCTATCGAAATTGTTCCCAAATTTTCAAAAATTCGCAAACTATAGCCAATATTAAAAGAAGATTCGAATATTTGGAATCAGTGACCAAAATACACGCCAGCAATACATATTAATGCTGTTCTTTACATCTTTTGACTATAGGCCAGTGCAATTATCGTGAGAACAATTAAAATTTTATCGAAAACAGATAACTTTGAGATTAACGATAAGCTAATGGGCTGCGAGAAATGATATTTGTCTTTATATTTTGCGTTAAAGGATTCATTATCAAATAATATGCACCAAACCTTTTTGCTGAACCCAGAATTTGTAACAAGAATTGGTCCTATTCGACTAGTGTGCTGTGGGTCACTTGGCGGTCGATGCGCGGGCTTTTACAATTAAAATAAAAGACTAATATTTTGCAGGCTTCTTATTGACTTCATGATACAATATATTTTCACTATTACCAAAGGATTTGAGAAAAAATAGATTTTCGACCAGCCCTAAAATATGTACATATAAAAAAACAATATTTAAAATTTCTACTGGTGGGACAGGTTTTAGTGACTTGTTAAAGTAATTACGTATGGAGTAAAAATTTGCTTACACAAAAATTACCGCTTTCTTTAAATTTGTTTGTAATTATTTTCCAAGAGATTTATGAAATGTAGTAATTTAGTTATATGTAGGTTACTTAGGTAATAGATATAATTAGTGGGATTTTTAAATTTATGTCGTTTTCCTCCTTTACATGGGATGACCCATCAAACAAAAAATATTAAAAAAAAATAGGTAAGTTGAATCCAAAGCATGTTTTTTTCCGCTATGAGAATTGTCACGCAATTCCGATGATGGCAAGGAGTTTATGTATCTTCCTTAGACGGCCAGGTTGATCATAAGTTGTAGGTGGATGACAGATTTAGTAATGTGTTAACCATATTTTTAATTTGTTTGTTAAATTTGAAATTTGCTAAATTAAGCACATATGCGTGTGTTGAGTGATATTAATCGAAAGCACAATAGAAATATTTTAGTGCCAGATGTGTATGTATTACGATTGACATTTTTTGTATGTGTGCTTAGTCCAGGGTTGTATTAACGATTACAACGAGATTTTATGTTGTGATGAGAGAAGAGTTTGGCATGTTTGATAGTCACATTAATGTCGATGTTTAAAACATATGTAGCTGAAATTGACATCGATTTACCATCAATTTCGTGATATGTATTACAATTTCGACATCGATGGGAAACATCGAATTTCATACCGACATAATGAATAGCGGTATTCTCGAATTCCTTCAAAGCCCTTGCATGGTGCAGAGATTGCACGGTTTGCAAAGCTGCCCCATAGGAAAACCGGTTTCTGCCGCGCAATCTCTGCACTATGCAAGGGCTTTGCAAGACTTCAAAAATACCCCTCATATTTTAAAGGCATCGATGCATCGTTTGCACTCCTAGCTAAGAGTCTATGCAAATAAAATACAATTTGAGTAGACAATAGCATACTTCCGAGTGTATTTCTGCCTTGAAAAAGCTTCTGATAGAGTCCATTTGCCGTTCCTATCACTCCATTTGTGCAATACCACCAAGACGCACATTACAAATTGAAGGAGAAGCTCCGCCAAACACTTCCGAAAATCTAAGCTGCTAAAAAAAATTAAAAAAATAATTAGACACGCCCTGCTCTTTCATTACCGGGGACCACATATCTATGGCCAAAAATCGAGACATTTCTAAAGCATGGTATCCGAACGTACAATTTTATTTTTAGAATAAAAAGACATAACATCCTTTAATACAGTTTTATTCAAAACAACACAAAGAAAAAAATTTAAAAATGATCGCAAAAGTTTAAGACACACCATATACATATCGTCACCTGAAATGCAAAATGTCGTAACTAATAAAAAATTCAAAATTCTTTTTTTGATCGATATGATGGATTTCATCGGATTACAAATCCCACATCATTTTATGAAAAAAAAAAAATATCAGTCACGACTTTTTCCATTTCAATTACGATGTTGTTACGTCATTTAATAATCAAAAGGGGAATAGCCAAAGAATGCTAAAATGTCCCTTCCCTGTTTATATTTGCGCCACTGCACCTACAGCTTATAATTTATATATCCATGATTTTTTTAGGGAATTAGTATTATTTTTTATAATCTCACTAAATTCAAGTTTCAAAAAAAAGCTTAACAAAGAATTATATAATCCTTAAAAAAATTTGACAAGAATGAAAGCCTGCAATATGTATAGCGAGAGTACCAGTTTGACAGAATAAAACATGACCAAATATCATAGAAAATAACGATGCTGGCTATGTTTATGGCTCCCTTATATTCTATGTCCTTTGCGATAACGAAAGTACTGTCACATTTGTACGAAAAATTGTGTTTGGGCCAGAGTACAGGGAGACTCTTATAAATTAATAAAGTAAACTCTGAAAATCGGGATAAAGGAAATCTGAAAAATCGGGACATTAATACGCCCCGACTATAAAAAATATTCAATGGGACAACTTTCTTAAAATCGGTACTGTCCCGCCAAAATCGGTACGATCGTATCTATAATACACCGTATCTATAATACAAACGTATTTGAAAAAATCAACAAAATTGTCATCAAAATGCGCAAACTATTTAGACAGGATTTTTAGAATTTTTTGAGTATGCACTTTCATGGCCCATTCAATTGCTACATACCCAAAGGTTTTTTTTTTTTAAATCTGTATAAAATAAGTGAAATTTTATTGAAACTTGGTTGATTGTTTTTTAGTTTTTGTACAAAGTTTGAAACTTGTA